TTAGTCCTTCGTCATTCGCTCTGACCATGAAGGGATACGCTCGAAACGTCAGCTTTGAAACTCCCTGTGGAAGCCAATTTACGTCATCAACTGAGTTGAAAATACTAAACTACCCTGTTATACTCTCCCACCGACGCAGCACCACAGTTTCTTTGGAAACTTATCCCCTTTGTTAATGTTATTTTACAGTCCTGGTTCTTATGAGTCCTTTGAACATAATTTATCATTAAAAAGCTAAACAATTTCGTTTTAGTCAAAATATCCAGTTCAAAAATCACGACAAAAGCGACAAAAGCAGGAGGTAGTATTAACTAATTAAATTTTGAGACTCATCTCGATTCATTGGTGTAATAGGTTTAGTCTTTCATGGATTTTATTTTCATCATTAACGTTGTAATACATGGCAATTTCAAGCCGATTCGCGCCAAATTGGCGCTGCAGACCTAAAAGCTTTAGTCTAATGACTACAAAGAGCGCAGAAGAACCCTCGGTAAATTTAGGAAAAATTTTGTACGGTGGAAAAACTCAATCGAAGCATCCAATTTCTTTGAATTGTTTTTCTTTCAACAGGCTTCTACTAGCCGCCCACGTTAAAGCAGGAAAAAAGGATTGAGGATTGTTAGGCAATTTGTGTCATCAAGGCAACGCAGAATGGTCTAGAATATTACACTTCATTAACGAAGTAAGCCATTTCAATAGTGCAGGGCGAGACATAGAGAGAATTAACATCAGAGTGTTCTTGAGAACAGCAATCTGCATTCTTCTTAGCGACTTAAAATTGCGTATGCTGGAGCTAAGATGCTAATGTGCGGGATTTCCTTTAAAATACGTTCAAACCTGATCCGTAGTCAGTTCTTCTTTAGCTGTTTTACTCACTGTTTTGCCCTCTTTATTAAGAAGGCTACACGACGTGCTGGATGGTAAAGTCTGTACGAACACAAAACAGGAGATTCCTATCAATTGTGTTTCAACCGGTCAAGGTCAAGCTTGATTAAGCCCGACTTCCCTTCTATTTCAAGAGAGCAGAAAAAAGCTCAATTCATCTTTTGTTTTTCTTGCTCGGTTTCCACTGGATCACAAGTATCATAAACCACAAAGAGGAAGTTGCTGGAGGTGTGTAAGTAATGAAAACATTTATTAAAGGCTTTCCTCGTACCTAGCACCAAAAAATTTTCGGTTCGCTCGATACCGCGACTTAGATCCGTCTGAGTTTGAGTAAGATACAAAACGTGCGTCAAAAAATAGTCATCATTTTTTATTTTCCATTTCAATAATAACAAATAAAAAATTAATCTACAGCATTATAAAAAGAGGGCGAGGAGACCACAAGAAGACACCGGGCTTATGGAAGAGGTCACCTCACTTACAACAATGTTTGTACAACAATATAACTGCGAATGTGCGGTTTGGCAAATTCAGTGATTATTTAGGTAAAAACTCTTACAATTTCGTCTTAAAACTAAAAAGACTTGACGAACGAGTGGCTGAAACAGGATGAGATCCACATTTTAGGACTTTGGTCCTAAAATACTTGTGTGAAACAAAAAATGCTTATGCCTGAGCTGCGGATTAACGTTATATTTAGGTCGGTCTTTTTTCCTCGTCCCCACCCCCAACACACCTCGCTGAAGGCCTCAAAGAGAGACTCTGCCGTCTCAAAGAAGAGAGCGGAACTTCGATTGAGCAAAGCCTTAAAGCCATTAATTTCGAAGTACACACATTCTTGACATCCTCATACCTAGTTCCAAACTAAATTTTGTCTTTACAATGTTGCCAGTCGAGGAATGTAACGGCGTCGAAGGTTTATCAATTAGTTTAGTAAAATAATGTCAGTATATACTCACTGGATGATTTTATGTCGGTTCCGTGACTCGCTAATAGCGAGGAAGTCGTAACTTTAGGCTAGCCTTTTGTCTGGTGGTTTTATAAAGCACTAAATAAGGACAATTGTTTGTGGCTTGCATTGCCACAATTGTTCACACTGTTTTACCACATCTTGAAGAAAACAGGAACTTCTAGTAAGCAACTACTTCCGAGGATTTTCAAAAAAATACGCTTTTGAAACGTGGCCCCCTCTAATTCATTTAAAAGACTTTGAAATTTCAAATATACATGATGTGAGGTTAAAATTTGATTTGAAAATTTATAGCACGTCAGGTTGACGATTTATCAGAAACCGTGTTTTGACCTCGAGTTACGATGAGCGGTAAAAGTCTTGGCACGCTCTACTGCTTTGTGATTTTTTCCACTGCAACTTTCATTTATCTTCCCCTTCCCCCATTTCAGTGTTGCCTGATGTTAACAAAATTCTGACTAATTTCAGGCATCATTGTTTGGAGGAAAACTGGGGTCTTTCAGGTAACCTATTAATAGAATGAATGATAAGATTTCTCAGGTTGTATTACATTGAGTGGAAGGTTTTTGACTACCAAATAAGGAGCGACGTGCAACTATTTTTGCCACTCATTGTAGTCTACTGCAAAAGGGCGCCTCCCGGTCGAGGTTAATTGCAACCTCTTCTATAACTTTGGCTGCCTACCAACGGAGAAGGCTAGAAATATATAGAATAGCCACGTCATATCCTTACCCTGATTAAGGAAATACCTCTGATCTTTAACGCAGTCTTTGAATTAGGGAAAGTTTTGATGAAAGTTCCTTTCACTTGAATCTTCTTGAAGAACTAATTCTGTGTCGTTGCTTTAGTTCCTTGTGATCTTCGTTTTCGTTTCAGACGGGAAAGGTTTCACTGGTGAATTTGATGTTATCGACGTGACCCAACAGAGTACACGTGCTGAAGAGGGTTACAGAAGTATTTGCACGTCCATGCAGCACGGCTATCACCACTTACTTCAAAAACTAAGCTGAAAGCCTCTAATCTTGTAAAATAAACATGCGGAAAGTGTTTTATGAATTAATTGAGTACTTTTACATGGGGTATAATTAATTTTTCTCTTTCAGGGTCATCTGCGTAACTGATCCCGACAAGGAAAGCCTGAGTCATGGTCTCAGTTTATGGAACTAACTAGATTACCGAGCAAGGAGCGCGGGCTCATTTCCTGAACAGCGGGTGATAATTGAGCCTATCTGTGAAGAACACAGCGGTCAAACGTTGGGCATGCGCGAGGGGAACAGTTTGGGGCGCCCGCGCACCATTTTCTCAAGAAGTGTTTTTAAGGAATACTTGTGGAACAATTGCTGTCTCGCAAAATAAGCAAAAGAAAATTTAAAAGTTCATAGTAACCTGAAAGAGGAAACAAAAGTAGGGTGAAGCAAAACTCGAGGCTTTCCGAACGCGAAGCTTATTCGAGTACGAGTATTCCGTTGATTTACCATTCTTGTTTGAGCTTTCCCAAAAAACTATACTTTCTAAAACACCGTGACTTACTGGCTTGTGTGGTTATTGTAATTTTTGTGAGACAACTTGGTTCTGACAGCCTGGAAGCACGTTACCCAGCCACTACAACAATAAAAAATGCGCAGACGTTTAACCGCTCTGTTTCCTGTTAAGACGTTCGCAAAAGCAGCACATTAGGTAAAACGCAGTCTATGACTGCCTGTTTCTACTGTTGTACAGTTGTTGAGTAATGTGGTAGGAACGCAATGTAATTTAAAATGCAAAGGGGTTAATGAACAGCACTTTTCGATGCAAAAACTGCGACAAAAGGAGGACTTGGTTGGAACAGAGTTTGTACACTGGTCAACTGACAGGCCGAGGATATGGCAAGAAGTGCAATAAAGAAGGTACATGTAAAAAATGTTCATCAAATGTTTTTTATACAAAACTTTGCCTCTTCGTGCATAATACATTCATGGATAGTTGAACAAAGTTACTCAGTAGTGGTGTTGGCCTCGCCACCATTTACCGCGAGACCAGAAATGTTAATGAATTCATAGTATGTACTATACTATATATATATATGTACTACATATATGGCTATGATTGTCACGAGTCATATGACCAAGTTACACGCCAGCGTAATTTGAAGGTTAGGCAGGGTGTTATTTGGATGGGAGAAGGAAAACAAAACAACAAGTTTTTTTTTACTCAAACGGGTTTAATGTTAAAAAAAGAATTCTTTAATCACAAGCGGGACGTGTAATTTTCCCTAATGGACTGCGCCCAGCACATCATTAACAGAGAAAAAAAATAATATTCGTGAAGTTTTGACAAATCATTCAACATGGCTACCATTTCTATATCTTCGGGTGTCAAACGTTCGTAGCCAAAGGGGATACCCCCCTTTCCCTCTGTTTGATTGGTTGTGACTGTGGTCACGTTCATGCTTTGACCGATGAGAAAGCAGGATTTCATCCATGTGACCAAAAATTGGTCGACTTGAAACTTTGTTAACGTTGCAAAATCACGCAACGCTTCTGATAGGTGTCACGGTAAGGAAAACATCACGCACGAGTGTCACCCAAAGTCATTTTTACAATTGTATAATCCCAAAAGTTCCTGGTTTTACAATTTGGGTCGTGAGCTGAAGTCCGATCATTGAATAGTTAACTTTTCAAGCTACTGTCTCAGTTGTTCCACTTGTGTGTCTTTCTATCCTGTCTTGTTGGTGTTCGTTGAGACAACTTGGTGTGATGATTTTTTTGTTGTTGTTGCTTGTGTGCGGTTTTCTCATGTTCATATAAATGTTCTCTCGTTTCCAACTCCATCTACACCTGTCAAAATTCAACTGAACTCTCTCGTGCCCCTGACTCGCGTATATGGTAATACCATTTTACATCAACAAACTAGTCATAAACCGGTCTGAGGGCATGGGTTGGACTCATTTGACGACGTTGGATTAAGGATACGCTCACCTTATTTGGTCATGAAAGGCTGTTTGGTCAGATTTTTTTGTTTCGCTGTTTCATTATCAAACTAGTCACAAACCGGTTTGACGGCGTTCTCTTCCTTAACCGTGATTGGTTCTCTTACACCATAAACTAGCTCACTTGTATCCCTTGTCACTTGTTGCTGACCGAGGCGAGGAGGAGATATCAAGAAGATGGAGGTTCTGCAAGTGCAAGAAGTCATGACGAACGAAGAAATGACGGGAACTATGGTTGATTACGACTTGAACACTTATCCACCCGCCAAATATCCTACGACATGTAAAAAGAGCGGGAAGAGGAAACATGAAAAGGCCATGGAGAAGGAGCGCGCCAACAAGAAAAGCAAGCGGACAGCAAAGAAGAATGAAGGTGAGGCACAAGATAAAATTACTGAATGGTTGATATCTGTCAAAAAGAAAGTCGTATTCAAGGAGACCGTGGAAATATGTTAATCCTAAAAACATTGAAAAAGAAGAGGACAAGACAAGCGATAGTGGAAAGTGTGGATGGAAGAGGTTCACCGTTTTACCTGAAAAAAATTACGCAGACGACAGAAATATCTAATCAAAAAGAACTTATACCCAAACAAAGAAAGGTATCTACCCGTGAGAAAAACACAGAACCGTGTGAACTGATTGTGACGTTTTTGTGATGTTAAATTTTCAGAAGAATACATTCCGCTGTAAGATGTCGATACCAATGATTTATTAAGAGATCTGGGTTTTGAAGTGATAGAGGAAGGATAACTACTGACAACAAAAACAAAAATTACCAACCATTGAAACTCTTGGAGCTTTGGAAAAAACAGGAGCCCTTGGAATGTTTTATCCACGATTGCAAGCTCGAGAAATGTACTTCCCAAAGTGGTTGGGACTATGTGAAGTGTCCTATGTCCGATTGTTTCATCTTTATGGGACTCAGTAAAATTCATCACTATCTGAAGAATGTCCAGGATCAAACCCAGGCCGGGTACAAATGGGATAAGGAGAAACTCAAATGCTTTTGTTCAGAACCATCAGTGTTGTGCGAATGGAAATCGGAACACAATCCTGGCAGGATTTATTTAAATGTCCAGGAAACCGATGCTTTCTTCTAGTGGGGATGCGAGGTGCCCATTGGTACAAACATGGTATGGATGAACAACACAGAGTATTTAGGAATACCGTACGTCACGCCTATTCCTACCACAGGGTATTCTTGGAAAAATATGTTGTAGGATCAAATAGAAACCTATCCAAGGTTTACCACGACAAGTACTACAAAGAAGATCGTTTGCCCTTTGGGTTGTAACTTGTACTGCATTCAGAGAATTTCGATGCTAAATAGTATCAATCATACCTGTTCGTATATAATTGTATAAACGAGCATTGATTAACGCTAGTCCACGATTTTAGGTAACCCTAACGTTTTCATCTCTCTTGTTGAGAATGTTAAGAAGTAAACTTTTAGTACGTGGTAAAGAATTATAAAATAATTCAAATAGTACGCGCACTCTGATTGGCCATAAAAACATTTTACATGAGCGTATGTAAACACGGTTTTCGTTCCTCTTTCATTAGTTATTTTATAAAAGAAATGTAAAATGGTTTCCGTGTTTACATAGCCTGATGTAAACACGCGGGAGGTTGGGAGAACACGAGATAAGCGTAGGAAACCACGACGCGAAGCGGAGTGGTTTCCAGTTTATCGAGTGTTCTCCCAACCTCCCGCGTGTTTACATCAGGCTATGTAAACACGGAAACCATTTTACATTTCTTCAATATAAAAATAAAAACAACTGGGGCCAGAGTGTTTGCCAACTCTACACCAGTAAGTGTAAGCTAAAACAATTTGTTAAAAAGAGATGTAATACCATTGACGTTGATTTTTAGTCTTGATTAACTGTTATCGTTGATTTTTAGTCTTAATCAACTTTGAAAGCGTGTTTGACTGTAAAAATGTCCTTAGCAACAATATGTAATAATGTTGCTGTGAGGGATGCCCTATCCCCCGACTTCTCATTGGTCCATAACCACGTGGCATGTCACTTTAGGGATACCAACCATTGTCTATCCTTTTGTGAATACCAGTTTTTAATGGGTTAACATATAACACATTGGTCACATGGGTGAAATCCTGCTTTCTCGTCGGTCAAAGCATTTACGTGACCACGGTCAAAACCAATCAAACAGAGGGAAAGGGGGGTATCCCCTTTGGCTACGAACGTTTGACACCCGAGGATATAGAAATGGTAGCCATGTTGACTGATTTGTGAGAACTTCACGAATGCTCATAACTTTGTTCAACTGGCTATGAATACATTAACTAACTGAAGAAACTGTAAGCGCTTGATAACAAAGGAAGAAGAGAACGTCAAGTCGTGTGGTAATTGGTTCAGCAGTTTTAGGTTGAACATGTCTGTTTGGTTTTTCGTGTTTCTTTGCGAGAAAACCATCTTTAAGTTATTTGGTTTCTGAACTTTTTCAAACAGCTTCAAAACAGGTTTGACCGGTTGAAAAAGCATGGCTGGATCGTTTTGGAAGTTTTCGAACAATGACCAGCCGTGACACTCTCTGAACACAATTACAAAATGGCGAGTTTCTCATGTTCTTTCGAAGCTAACCTGTGGTGCAGACGTCTTACTAGAGCGAGTTGACGTTACAAGCTCGCGATCGCTTTTTTGACTGGCCATCTTTGATTTAGAGTTAGGGTGAACGGTGGTGGGAGGGGGAGGGGGAGGGGGCGGGGAAAGGCGAGAGGACCCACCCCTCCCGTTTTCCTCCTTATGACCGTCGCTCACCTTTTGGGTCCAATTTTCTTTCTCTACCCAGCTTTCCGCTACTGTTTAAATCAAAGATGGCAGCTGTGATATTCACCCGGAAAATGCTCAGCACTCGCTCGCCAATATTGCGTCTGCTCCGCGGGCTACTCTCAACGCGCTTTATATGTTTAAAGTAGAGGGATTTATCTGCGTGCAATCGGAGAAAGAAAAGGACCTTAATAATTAAAAATCCCACCTAGTGAGAGGCAAACAAGTTGCTTATTAGTTTAATTATTTACGTCCAAAGGATGAGTCAGTTTGTTTGTCATGTTAACATGTTAACATGTTTTAACACTTTTCATTCCTCTACCTGCTAATTGTGGCAGGCGTTATCGTGTTTTCACAATCTGAATGGATATCATAATCCAGCCCTTTCAATGAAATCCTCAGATTTAGTCATCTGGCACGGGAGCAGCTGAAGATCCTTGTGAAACTACTTACAAAGATGCCATTATACTTATACTACGTACCATAAAGTTTCTACTTCGCTACCCTAACCATATCCTGTAAAGGCTGTAGTCCTCCCGTTCCGCCGGCTATTACTTCAACATGCAGAATTTTTCTCTAAACAGGTTACATACAAGTTAGCAACTGGCTCCCAGAGGGCATTTATAGAAGGTTCCATAATAAACGGGTTCGGGTTCTGATTGTTTTTGAGGTGAAAAAACTCGATCAATTATTTCTTATTTCCACTTCGGTTTTCCAGATGTGAGGAAAAAAAACATGCGGTTTCTGTAGTGATCTTCTCCGTCTAACCATAATCTCTTTTGCTGCGGTAAATTAAGCACCGAAGATTTAAAAGTTGCCTCATGTTTACTTTGTGCATAGATTTGATGTACTCAAGCGATGATGTTCAGCACTTTTAACTTGTTGGTTTTAAAGTGCTCTATACTTTACCATATTTTACATGGAGACGGACAAAGTCTTCCTTCTAGTCGTCACTCTACGCACCGATTCATCAATTTTGTCAAGCACAGTTTCAACTACTTAAATGCGGCGACGAAAATATCCAACAAATTAGCTGTGAGAAGTTTCGACGAGTGTGGCATTCAGTGTCTACGAACCTCGACTTGCCTTTCTGTGAATATGGCAAGTTCTTCTGACGACAATGGAGTGTACTGGTGCGAAATACTTGCTTCTGACAAATACATGTCTTCAGAAAGTTTTAAACCAAGCCCAAATTCGCATCATTTTTCCATTATGGTAAGTGTAGGGTGGTTTTGAAAAGGTCAGGTTCAAAACGAATATTTTACATTTCTAGGCAGACGTTTCCATCGTTATCCTTCGTCAAAGCGATTGACGAAGGGCTAACGATCGAAACGCCAGCTTTTAAACTCTTCACGGTGACCAATTTACATTATCAACTCAGTTAAAAAAAACAAATTATCTTGTTCTACCTCCCCAACGACGCAGCACCACAGTTTCTCTATAAACTTACCCTTTACAAAAAAAATTAGTTAAGTCTGAGGTGGAAACATGCAAAATATCTACGCGTACAAATAAGCCAGGAGTTAGCGACTTATCCCCTCTTATGACAATAGACATAACATTCTGGCCAGCCCTTGTTTTGGAACTTACTGGTTAAGGTAAAAGTACGAATATTTTTGGCAATATAACTAACTCCCAATGTGCACTGTCCATATGTAATTAAGATTTGTTCAATTATCGCAGTGAATTAATTATTTGAACAATGGAAACAAAATTGCAGAGTGAAATGTCCCTTGCCGAACTGTTATTAGCTTCAGGGAAGGAGTTCCGAAAAAACAACGAAACAAACAAAAATTAAGAGATTAAATGGGAATTTAAACCAAGAATACTTGCAGTTGGAGCAGGTCAAGTTTGGGCCCAATGTTCCCATTAAGCAGATGGATTTGAATCAGTCAAAATAATGATAACAATAATAATGACAATGATATAAAAACACACTCACATCTGTAGAGTCGGACATGAAATTGAATACTGTAATGATTCCCTCAGTGAAACCTGTAAGAGATGCTTATGACGGAGGAAAACGATCCAATGGTGTAAGATGTATACCAAAAATATAGATTTGAAGTTTAATTTTATCTTATTGAGGAAAAACTAAAACAAGTTCGTTTCTTAAAATGAACTTCAGAATCTGCCTCCCCTCCTCACTTTTCTTCCCAAGGTTTTTTTATCACTTGGAAATTTCCGTGTCACTTTTATTGTCTTAAGCAAGTGGAGAGCTAATGCAAGGGATTCTTAATAGACTGCCATCTATCCATTCTTTTTCTCTCAGACACCATGCATAAAGGACCCCTGTGTCGGTCTGCAAACGTGCGTTCCAAACTACAATGACGGAAGCTACAAATGCCGATGTCTGCGAGTCGGTTTTTCGGGTGATTACTGCCAAGGTATTTACATCTTCTAGATTTCGCTTAAAACGTTATGACCACCTCCACCTCGAAGAGGACGGGGTGGGGGAAAGGAGCCTGCAAAAGGGGAAAGAAGGGAAGTATGGGAGAAGGGCCTTATGAGAAAGGGAAGGTGCTCTCTAAAGAAAATGAGGGTCGTGTTTTCTTTTTTTTAAATCTCGCCCAGCTTGGATAAATACATCCTTTCTAGGGTTAACCTTCAAATACAGGCTTTCAAATATATATACATGTCTTTCACTGAAACGATTCTATTTTTCTTCGCCAGCAGTCTTTTGAATTTACACGCAACTGTATTGTACAAAACTTACAAAATGGAAGAAGCAAAATGCAATAATTATAATAAACACTTAAATTACTGTTACGCGATGGAAGTAAGAGGGAGGGGTTTCTATCCACCCCCACCCCCACTCCCGATAGTTGTGTGTTAGTTAACTTGTCAGTCTAAACAATCCCTGACTCTTCGACTTAGTGTTTTTTCATACTTAAATCGAATTGCAGAATGTGACACGACAAATGGATGGAGACGGTTCAACATATCTTGCTATAAGTTTTTTAGCGAAGTGGGTAAGTGGAAAGAGGCGAAGAAGCGTTGCGCAGACATTGGATCCATTTTAGTTCCAATTCATTCCGCCAATGAAAATGATTTCATATCCTCCCTGCTTCCCGATGAAGAAACCACTGCATGGATTGGAGCAAACGACATTGGTACGGAGGGGAATTGGGTCTGGGTGGACAGGAAAAACTGGGGCGAGTATGAAAACTGGTCTGGAAACAATCCCAATGGCGACGTCATAGAAAACTGCGCGCTGATACAATCTGGACGGTGGAATGATGTATCCTGCGGTTTGAGACGTTACTATGTTTGTAAAACGAAAAATTAAAAGCAGTTCTCTCAACGAATGGCAACATGATCAGCTGTTTATCGTCAGGACTAAGAAGATCCCTCTGCTTTCCTCTCAGTAGGGTCAGCCATCATGGTTGTTTGTGGTTTTAGCCGACCTCACATATCGTAATTTATCAATACTGTCATTTATCTATATCAGGCTCAAAGCACTTAGGAATGCTTGCACATTTTGATAGGCACGTCGTGATATGCCCTTCGTTCGTGGGGCTACGGATGAGATGCTTCAGTTCTATAATCTTAAAATCGAAGCCTTCACGGCCCAAAACTGCTAAACGGTGGTGTGAAATAGGAGAACATCACTTCCCTTAAACAGGATGTTTACATCTACATTCAGGGCCGCCAACGAGTTTCTTTAGCCTTTGAACTCGTTTATCGAGTGGTTTCCAGAGGGATTAAAAATATATCAATTAATGAAATTCAATTATCTTCGGAGGCTTAGTTGAGTGTCATTTGCGAGAAGTCATGCAATCAAATTCCAATTGCACAAGTCACTCACATAGCTTCGGCAGTTACATCGTTTGTCTTGACTTAAATTTTCAATAATTATATGATCAACATGTTAGCTTATTTCTCTTTACAGATAGAAGAATATCCTCTTGTATTAATTGCTTCTCATATTTCCTAAATTATTTGGATCTCAAAGCGATTCGGCGTTGTCTTGGTTAAGTTTGTCTGTCGTATAGCGGAGCTTCATTATGCAGTGGATAATCTGCACCTTGCGTGCAAGCTTCGGTTGAAAACAGATTGCCTTTCATTAAAACAAAGTATTCCTTGTTTTTCAAGGTCAACGGTTGACACAAATCCTTTATTATTCCTTTTCAACGCAGCGACGAATACAACTTAACACGGAAGTGGAAGGAAGAGAGATTATTCAAAAGTTCATCATTACATGTTTGTAGTGTTGAGCGCCCAACGAGAACCAAGGTTTTAAAGAGGAAACCTGACATAAACGTGTTCGGTTTACTCTTATCAGTGTTTTGTTGCTTTCCCAGCTTATTCTCGCATTTACAACAACTGACGTTTATTCAGTAGTCGTAGAGAATTTCCTTCTTCAATGTAACAATGATAGCGGGATTACTGGCTTTGATTCAGTTTGCAGGACTTGAATGAAACATATAAACCTGAAACTTCATTTGCAGAGAGATGAATGTCGTTTAGCTGCGAAACTAGAAAAGCTGTCTATTCTTGTACATTGCTCATTAAGCAGCACAGAGGGGGCTTTGTCTGAATGTACTGCAGTCACGCAAAAGGTTTTCGCAGACAGACTTCAGACAAAATGGAAAACAGAAAAAGGAGTTCTAATTCTCCATTCTTGGAGAAAATAAGGAAAGCGACATCTAGACAGCTCGATGGCAGCTGTATGAATGTGACCAGATTAAAGAACCACTATTCATGCAAGCGGCAAATGGCACGAATTCACTTTTTTTTTTGTCTGCATGCCTATGCAGCTGTGTGTTTGACGAAGTTAGCATATTTGCAGCTGTTGCCGATGGTACCCTTTTTTGAAAGCAATTCTTTGTTCCATGAATTGAAGCAACAAAATATCGTACGTGAAATTAGAACTGAGTGAGCTCTGTTGTTCATGTTTTGCTTAGACGTGTAAAATCTATCTTATGGAGTTTCTATGTGCAAGAGCTTGGTTCTTTCTCGGACTTTCCGGATATTTTTTATCGGCATCAGAATGCAGCCGCTTTTAAGTTTTGTCATACTCTCACGTCCTTATCAAATTATCTCGTTAGCACTTAAGGTTGTGAATTACAGAGGAAATCCGTCTGAGACACAGTAATTAGCCCAAACTCAAAATGTTGCTTTTTTGTGGAAGGCGTGAGAAAGTCGGCCGCCCACGCTGACTTTTCTAGATGCAAAAAGCTTCAATCTGACATTAAAAACTTCTTCAGAGTTCCTGTTAAGCAATAAATATACAAACAAAGCAATTAAGTTCCCTTCAACTCGCTAGACTGTGATTTCATGAATGCCTCTCAGACTGAACAGACACAAAAAAAAAGTAAAAGTACTTTTACTGACATTCAGGTGGTGTAATCTTTCTAATACAGGATAAGTATCATTGTTGCAAAGTGATCATGTGATCAGTGGCAAACTCAAATACAGATCAAAACTAGCAAAAAGGGGTCTGTGAGATATGTGCTATGACTGTAACTTACACATGCTCTAAGGCTGAACAGAGTTAAAGCCAGAAAAAACTGAACTGAGTTTTTTCCTCGTTATGGTAATTTCCCTCGAGTTGACTGGTCTCAAGCGTTCGCGCGCTCAGCCAGTAATCAAGTACGATGGAATCAGAGAGCAAAAGACGCCTTAAAAAACAAACAAAAATATCCCGTTAGCTCTTCCCCTATTAATGTTTAAACTTTCCTAATGATTTCGTGTATACGTGATAAACGATCTCTCAAATTTATCCTTTACAACTTTACAAGGAGCCGGAACAGTCTTTGGCTCAATCTATCAAGTAAAAAAAAATAAAAAAAATAAAAAAAAAGATAAGATAATTAGAAATTGAATCACATCTTCTCTAATTTTCCCGACAGTATGTCTCTTGTCAAATTATTTAAGTCTACTTTCCCTAATTAGGCCACTTTACCATGTTAGGGCAACGGAAAGCGCAAAATATGTCACGGTGTTACGCTTAAGAACAGGCGAAGAATACGGACGGAGGGAGAAGCACTGATTAAAATGGCCCCACTAAACTATCCAAACTTTGGATAAGGTTTGACTTTTAGAGCAACTGACTTTTAAGCTCAGCAGATTTTTTTTTTTTGTCAGTCGAAGAAAATTCTTCAATGGTTTTGCTAGTCTTGTTTTCGTCTTTCACGCAGGCAGGATGCGATTGATTATCAATATTCTCAAATAAACCGTAGGATTTATTTCGAAAACTAGAAAACTGGAAAATGATGTAATCATGGAATAATAAATTCCTTATGCAATGTTTTAACTTATAATAATAGCGGACATTTTGCTCATTTGCTAGTAATTTCCCTCGCCCCTACGGGGGTTCGAAAAAATATTGCGCAACTCGCAAATTATTCGGCCATATTCAATGTCAAATGATCGAATAAGGTATACGCAAAAGTCGTAAAAGTTACAAATTTTTTGTTCTATTGAATATTTTATGGCTAGACATGGTTTGAAACTTTACTTTTAGATTTGTGTATGTGGATGGTATGTTTCCAAACCTGCTCTTACCGACTTTGAATTACAGGTGATGATGAAGATGTGACAAGAGTTTATGATCTCTTGTGATGAGGTTTGAGTCGCCAGGTCGTGAGATGTAGAACTGACAACACAGCACCGCCCCAAAAAGTGAAACTATCTCTAAACTTTCCTTTTTAATAAAACAATACAGCCTAAGCCGGCATTAATACATTTTGGGTCCTTTTCGTAGCCATTTTAGCCCAAGCTGTTAGGCGAGGATTTAAATGATATTACGAAGGGTCAAAAACATATTTATGTTTTTTTATATTATTATCACTTCGAAGGGCATTGAGAAAGTATAAATTGATTAAATGACAAAAAAACAGTCTGAACAATCACGCGAGCTTGCGAGAGGGCTTAAATGCAATTAAGCCCGCCAAAATCTCCATTTTAGACCACGCGATGCACCACAATTCCCGACAAAGTAAAAACATTAATCATTTTCTAAAAGTCTCAGTAACTTTTAACCCTTTAACTCCCATGAGTGACCAAGACAGAACTTCTCGTTGTAATATCAATACAATATCAAGCAGACAAGTGATGAGAATAGAGAAAAATATTTATTAGGGGATTATTAGTTGATCCAATACCAAATTCTCCAAACTAACATCATTAGGACTATACGGCAGACATTTAGGAGAATTACCAATGAGATCCTGAGAGTTAAAGGTTTAAATATCCCTAGCGATTTCTGTATATTCTAGTTCATTTAAGTTTGTCATCCGTGTTCTTTTTCTCCATTTTTTTTCCTCCCTCAGTCAGGGACTATTTGTATACCTTCTTCATATATTCTCGTCTCAATGATTTAAAAAAAAACGTTCTTTGATATTTTACCCTAAATCAGTTTTCATGTCGCAAATAATAAGACGACTCAAATATCATCACTTACCCCTTTTGATTTATTTACCTCCCAGATCTCAAAGTTAATTCTCCCAATCAGCAGCTATACGTTTCTTTGTCAGTTAGTCCTGAAGAATTTGGTGCTGTATCACCAAATTACCGATTGATAATTTTCTTAATTTCTCACCACCTGTCTGCTTTAGAGTGTATTAAAATTGTTAGGAGAACTTCCATTTGATCCGACGTGAGAGTCAGATTTTAATCGGCTTTAAGTGTGCCAGTGCTTACTTCCCCAACAGACCTGATTAGCGGTCTCCACTGTCTCTTGTAACGAGATAAGAAGTCCAAGGAAGAATTATATGTTTGATCCGGATTATTCGTCTAGGAAGAGATTCACTTCCTAGACGACTTAAAAACATCGATGTTTTTTTGCTGACTAACGCTTTCTTCATAACTAGACGTAGTCTATGTGGGCTAGAATTACATGTGGGCCCTTTTGATCCGGATTATTCGTCTAGGAAGAGATTCACGATTTAAAAACATCGATGATCTTTTGCTGACTAACGTTTTCTTCATATCTAGACGTAGTCTATTTGGGCTAGAATTACATGTGGGCACATTGTGTTGTTTGGCAACATCAATACCCTAACTTGTAAATGGTCCTTTGATCGCGTGACTTAATTTCAGTATTTTTTCTATTATCATGGCAAATTTATATGTCGCGGAAATTTTATGTAGGGGTGAGGGTTTTTGTTTGATTTTCTCGTCAGCTCGGTCCTTTAAGGCGGTAAGGTTATATCTTGAAAGATTTGACGTAGATTATGCAATGTCTGTAATGAATAGAGTTGCCTGTAACTTAACAGGTACTGACTCCGCTAGCTTCCACGAGAGACACCTTTGTACAACGAACAACGGACACTTTGAAGCTAG